ATGCCTTAATAATAAAGTGCATGATTTAAGTTTTCAGGTATTCAACATCATAAAGAAGATGTTTTCGCATCGCATTATTTTACTCGTTCGTGCAGTACCTTAATCATGAAATACGTGTTTCTGCAGCTGATACTTTTATATATTACCGCAGAAAGACTACGTGTATGTATGAATGAGCATAAATTGGCATTTATGAGCGTACTGAAAAGTGCCCAACACCCATAGAAAAAATTTTGTAGTTTAACGTACTTCTGTTTCAAGGTTCAGGAGGGTATCAATATTTTCACAGTTACGTTGTAGCACATAATGTATATCATGTCAGTATATCACATAATCATGCATATCACATAATATCAGTATGTCACATAATCATAATCATATCACGTAGTCATGTATATCACATAATATATATCGAGTCATCGTTTGCGGTGGCCAAGAAAGAACCGTCGAGAATAATTACTGCATGTATTCAAAACTGTAGACGCTCAAATGTCATAGATTTATGGCTTCTGTAAATGCATCCAAGTAAATACAAACAAGGAACGGATTGGATACGCTCTGAAATCCGATTTAAGGCGGACAAAACTTCTGCTAATTAAGAACATATATACATTAAAATTTGACTGATATTAAGAGCCAGCGTTTTAGAAGGCGTCGACATTACTCATTGTCAAGGTTAGTAATGAATTGTTGCAAAATTGTTGCCCTAGTTGATACAGAAGTGGCAGGAATTTTCGTTTAAGCCTCTAATATCGAAAATACAGTAAGGGTAATAGTAAGCATAAAATATGGTATCATAGATCAAACAGGATCTACATTTAAGGAAGAAATGCTCATGCAAATATCCAACTGGAAATTTTTTTGATCTTGAGTATGCAGATGAGTAATATGAGGAATTGGCTTTACTATGTGACGACTTACGTGTTTAATACTGCTGACAAATTCGATTATTTGATTTACACAACGAGTTACGAGAAACGAATCCGGCACTACAGTACCGCCGGTATTACGGTGCCGTCCGAGATTAACGTATTTCCGTAATTCGATTCCATTTTCTCAGTGAATGGATTTTCTACTTTTCGTTAAGCTATAATGCTGCAATCGTAACATCGAATATTTGGGCCAAAAGGGAACTCAGCTTTGAGCAACAGTTAGCTTGTACCCTGCGTCGGTTAGAATGAATGCTGGTATATGGCATGAGACAGTCATTTCAACGAAAGGCTTATAATGACAGCGACAGAGTACTGGCTGTGCTGACTTATGAGGATCATGTTGGGAATGACTCTATTGTTTGGATATATATACCTGAGCAGATGTATGCTAGTGTAAAAGTGTCATTTAAACAAGCTAGCGTAGCATAAACCTTTCAATCGATCCTGTGTTTGTCATTTTGGAAGAGCGTTCAATCCAGTAAACCAAGAGCTATGCAAGTAGCCTGGATGAACAATGTCAAATCAATGATTAATGAAATTAAACAAACAATTACAATGGCAAATCTGTGATCGAATAGAAACTGTCTTTTCGTGGTGTATTAATCGATATTTTGTCGCAAATAGGCAGAAAAATTGACACTGCAATAGACATCATAAACTGGAGATATTCTGCATATGAAATAAGAGTGATAATCGTAGCAAATAAAAGTCATGTTGTTACATGGAAATAAGCAGCAATGCATTAACTGACTTATATCTCGATCATTGAAAAACGTTTGCTGCGCCCAATCCGTGACATTCTTAAGCTTTAGCATAATTAATTCAGCATAACTTCAACTCGTACTACTGCCATGCAAAACAATGAACTGTGCAGAGAGCGAATATCTTAAGAAGCCTGCAATTTTACTGCGAAGAAAAGAATGGGGATGACAAATTCTCATTGAAACAGCACTGCACGGCATCCTTCTAATCACACACGTTTCTCTTAGCCATGGGCGAATGGTATATGCACACAGTAATAACATTCTCAACAAATAACAGAGCAGACCCACTTTATTTGATCATATAAGGCACAGTGAGTACATTTGCCATCTAAACATAACGTCAGTCTGTTTCAGAATGCAAAATACTTTGTTAGAATATAATAACGTACGACAGTACAACCATTGCTATATATATTCACAAATTGGGAAGCTGAAAGTCTGCCTCTAATTTTACTTTAACAAGAATATCAATCGAAGGCCTGAGGATCACTCAGCACTTTCATGCGCCAAAATGATCGGCTTTGACAATCTTAGGCGAGACTCCCTGCCGCGAACAAGCACGTCATTTTTGCATAACTCGTTGACCGCTTCCTCGAATATTTCTCGAGAAACCATCTACAAGCAACGGAATGGCATTAAAGAAGATGAGAAACGGCAAAGCAGCTTATGAAAGACATCTTATGAATGACTTACTCTGTCAGAGTTCTCACGAATTTCCATGAGCAACTTCTTGGTGGAAACCCATGCTCCAAACTGTTGTTTACTAGCGAAGTACTTCTTTAGCGCTTCGCATAATTCTGAAACGTGCTTACGAGCACTGGATGACATGCCGACGGCCAGAATGTTGATGTCTACTTTTCCAGTTAGCGGGTCGATCGCCGATTGTTTCAGGGCTTCACGGTGTAGTCTAAACGATTAAGTCATCAAAAAGAAAAAATCCAGACGGTTAAAAGTGCCACAAACCGAGAAGCCTCTTCGACGTCTTGCTCCGAGACGGCATTCGACAGCTTGATTTTGGCCAGGGCTTCTGACAGACGAATCAAGCTTTCCAGCTGTCTTGGGTATGCCGATACTTGGCCAACGCCACTACCGGTCTAAAATCAAATCTTTTAAGAATTTGTGCAAAACTCTGGTCATACAGTAGCATTGCCTTCCGCATTGCGACGTATTTTTCGACAAGCAGCTGTGCAGCCTGGTCAGAAATAACAGGATTGCACGTGGTTTTCGCATAAGAAATGTAATCGCGCAGCAACGACATATCCTACATTGAAAAATTTGAAAAATAACCAGCAAAAACTAAATTTTTTGTACAAGTGATTCGGCCTCCTCATCTTCTCTAGTAATGTAGTATAACGAAACTACGTGCGTGGCAAGACGTCGATCGTAGTATTCATCTTGAGGGTCCAGCATTAGAAATATCAGGTCAAATCTGAAGGCATATAATTTCGACAATAGTCGAACAGTGGTGGAAAGGTAGTAGAAAAGCAATTTCTTCCATTACCGAGACAACAGCGTATGCGGGAGCCGGACATTTTCTATGATCGTCTTGTTCTTATTCCATTGGCTGTCTACAGGATTCGCTCCGGCCAAAATAGAGGTTCTTGCATTTAGTTGACAGATGATTCCGGCTTTGGCAATGGACAACGTCTGTTGCTCCTAGAACAATTAAATACTGCTGCTAATAAATGCTGCTTCTGAAAAGTAAGGCACAGCTCTTAGCATAAGCCAGTAAACAATAACAATTC